AGATGTCCTCATACACTGTATTGTCTATATCCGTTTTTAAAAGATTGTTAAAAAGTTTTCTTTTAAAGTTCTTTGGAATTTATTTACGCTAGAAATTTAATCTAAAAGTATTTTCCACGTCCTGTAGGTTAAGCAGTTTTTCTTTAAGTCAATCAAAATTCCATTTTTAAGTATTCTTTTATATTCCTTAAATTCCTTCCCCCTCTTGTAATTGCTAGCCACTTTTATCTCTCTTCTCTAGTCCTTCTGGGGTCTTTACTTCGTAGATTTTTCCCAATCAGGGGATCAGTATTTCTGAGTCCTTAAGGAAAAGGAATAAAAAAGAGGCTTGCCCAGTTTCAGCACACTGTTGACAATCAGCTGTTTGGTGGAGCACAGCAGCTACGATGACTTGGGCTGCCTGTGCTTACCAGGCAGCCTTTCTTCCGTCCTTCAGAAAGCTTTCTTCAGTCCGTCTGGACCAACCGCCATCTGGTGCAGACTCCCGAAGCTTCCCTCCTTCTTCATTGCCCCTCTAGGGCAACTTTCCAACCCCTTGGGGTCACTGGACTGAACGAAATCGGGCTAAGAAGCCGGAGCCCCCGTTTCTTCCACCCGTCTCAATATGGTGTCAGACCGGAAGTTGGGGAGGAGCTTCCTGAGGGACCTCCTCCATCTTCCCAGGGTGGTAAAAGGCAGGCAGAAGTTCAACTGGTCTAGCAACCTACCTAGCTCTCTGCAGTGAACCTTGCAGGAAAGGACAGGAAATATGGGGACAAGGGAAGGGACCCCCAGGAACTCTCTGGGCTGGAGGAAAACTTATATCCATACTCCTCTGTCCCTCCTCCTTTGGGGGAGATATGGGGAGGGGTCACAATAAGGGTATCCACACCAATACTCCTGAGGTCTCCCAGCCCTTCAACACCCACCTTTCCTGAGTACCCCAAACTGTTCTTCTCCCCCATTTTCAGCCTTACTTGCTCCCTTTGGGCAATTTTTGAGGCCTCTTTCCACCCAGCTTCTCCCCGACTGTGGGGCTGCTGCCCCCCTGCCTCTGGGGATGCCTGGGCAGTGGGGCTGACCTTCCCCTCCCCTCCCCCATGAGGCCCTCCCTCCGGATTAGCCTCTCCCTCTGCTGCTCCTGGGTGATTTGCCCCTCCCAAATAGGCCCTCTGCAGCCCCCCAAGACCATCTCAAAGGGAGGGGCTCCAGCCCCCCCCCCACTAAAGGGAGAATTTGGAGGAGCAACTCAGGTGTTGATTGAGCATTTGGGGATTCTGGGTGGGGGGTTCCCCTTTCCCAAAGTCTCTCTTGGGGGCTCCCAGCCCCTTCCCACTCCTTTCCCCAAGAAGGAATCCAGGCTCAACTCTTCCCTCACCTTAAAAAAAAAACTTCAGAAGATTCAGAAGAAAAACTGAAATTGAAGAAACACTTTTCCCCAAAAGTGTCTTTTTCTTATACTTTTGGTGGCATTTCTGGATTCAGGTCTGAAAACGCCTCAGTTTCCCTCTTTCCGCTTTCGTTTTCCGTCTCCTTCCTCTTTCAGTGCAAGAAACTTTGGGCCTCAGGCGCTAATTCGTGGTCCGCAAGGTCCCCCTCCCACCCAGCCACCGGGAGAGGGGCGAGAGAGAGCCCCAGCTGCCTCTTATCCCACCTCGGCTGTCTTCCCGCGACCCCCTCCCCACCTCGGCCTCAACCAGGGAAGGGGGGGCTCCCTCTTCGTCATGCGGTGGGAAATGAGGCGTGGGAGGGAGCGGAGAACACGCGGAGATCGAGACTCCTGCAGGCTCCCGCCTATCTTGTCCTCTACCCCTTTCCCCACTACTGGAGTCCCAGCCCCTTTCTCCCCCTTCCCTCAGAAGCCCTGGCGGCCCCTCCCAGCCCCTCTCCTCCCTCGACGAGCCCCCTCCTTACCGGGGGTCTCCTCCCCCCTTCGCTTCCGGGGATCCGGGCCAGTACCTCCAGCAGCACCAGCATCAGGGGGAGCCCAGCGGAGCCCATGGACGCCGCCCCACAAGCCCCCCAAAGAGGGGGGAGGAAGACGGAGGTGCTCCCAGCCCCAGAGGCGGAATCGGGGGGGGGGATCTGGATTGGGGGGGAGGAGGAAACATTTTCCTCGAACTTTATAATTGGGAGTGTCCATAAGAGCGGAAGGACCAATGGGATTTCTCCCTTCTTGAGCGTCATCGGTCTCCGGGCAGAGTCTCCTTTGATGTCACCCAATGGAGGAGATTGTTCGGCGCAGAGAGAGAAGCGGAGAAAGTGTGTGTGGGGGGGGGAATCCCTTCAGTCTTGGGGGAGGGGCCGCAGCTCAAGAGGGTATTTCACGACAGCCCCGGAGGGGAGGGTGGACTTCCTTTGCCCTCCCCCCGGATCCTATGGGGGGGCTACAGTGGATGAAAAAAAGGGAGGGGGCAATGGGTGCTAATGGGGCAGGAGCCTCCCTGGCTTCTGAGGGGCTCAAACTCGCTCCGATCCTGGAGAAAGAGGCCCGGATGAAGCCAGGAGAACCTCCAGCTCCATCAGCTTCCCAGCCACGGAAGAGGCTCTCCGGGGGAAGCAGGAATTGGGGGTCTCCCAGGGGTCCCCTCCCTCTGGCAGGGCTTGGGGAGATTGAGGAGGGGGTCCTGCCCCTTCCCCTCCCTGGGATCTGCCCACCCTCCTCCCGAACCGCTTCTGGCTTCGGATCTAAACTAGCCCGGTTGGTCAATATGGAGGCAGGGGAGGCCTCAATCCGGGGAGGGGGAGGGGAGGACTCTCTGAGGGGGGGCAGGAAAAAGGAGGAGGAAGAGGGAGGGAGGAGGAACACCAGGGTTTCTACCATTTAACTTTTATTCTTTTGCAGGGAAGAGAAGGGATTCAGAGGAAGAGTAGTGGAGATGAAGCTGCTGTGGGTTCAAAGCCGGAAGAGATTTGGGCTTCTGGACTGACAGGCAGGCCCAGAGTCCCTGGGGTCAGTTTATAGGGAACGGACCGAAATGGAACGGAACAGACAGAATAGGGAATGGAATGAAACAGAACAGAACAGAACAAAATAAAATATGGAATGGAAAGGAACAAAACAGAATAGAATAGAAAATGGAATGGAATATGGAATAGAAAATGGAACAGAATAGAACAGAACAGAACAGAATGGAATAGAAAATGGAACAGAACAGAACAGAACAGAACAGAACAGAATAGAATAGAATAGAATAGAATAGAATAGAATAGAATAGAATAGAATAGAATAGAAAATGGAATGGAATGGAATGGAATGGAATGGAACAGAACATGGAATGGAATGGTTGTGGTCTACCTTGTCAAAGGTCTTACTGAAGTCTAAGTCTACCACGTCCACAGCATTTCACTGGTCTGCTACCACTTTATTAAAAAATTCAAACGCCTTAGCCAACATATCGACTATTTTTAGGCTAAAATGCTCCTGATCACATTAATCATAAAAGGCATAGAAGAACAATGAAAGCCCCAACCGCCCTGGTCCAGCCCTTTATTCCCTGAGGCTTTTCAGCTCAGAATCCACACAAATCTCCGAGAGACTCTGAATACGAGGCTACGGCAAAGAATACAGCTTTATGGTTTGATCAAAGAAGAGCCCGATGTCTCAATCTCTTGTCACACGCACAGCGAGACAGAGAAAAAAAAGGCACACACGCTACTAAAATTCCACCCCCCCTTTTATAGCTAAGGCACTTTCTCAGGCTAACAGGCTAAAAGATTCCTGTTTTTCGTTTGAATACTTGTTTTCTTTATCTATCAGGTTAGGTCAGTTACATCTTGTTACAGGCTACGCTTCAAATACACAACTGCTGGCAAACAGCCCAGAACTTTCGGGGATACATTTGCAGCGGAAGAATGATACATTGCAAGCTATAGCCAATACATTTAAAGTTAAGAGAAGAGAAGAGAAGAGAAGAGAAGAGAAGAGAAGAGAAGAGAAGAGAAGAGAAGAGAAGAGAAGAGAAGAGAGAAGAGAAGAGAAGAGAAGAGAAGAGAAGAGAAGAGAAGAGAAGAGAAGAGAAGAGAAGAGAAGAGAAGAGAAGAGACGGAGCCTTGTGGTGCCCCACTGCTTACTTCTCTCCTTGTGGATGTGGCGCCATTGGGGGCTACTCCTTGAGTAGGCTTGTCAGCCACATACAGATCCATCTGGTGGTGATGTTGTTTATCCCACCTTTTCCTAGTTTAGCAAGGAGCAGGTTGTGGTCTACTTTGTCAAAAGCCTTACTGAAATCTAGGCATGCGACGTCCACTGCGTTTCGCTGGTCTACTGATTCAGTCCCTTGATCCAAGAATGAGATGAGATTGGCCTGGCATGATCTGTTCTCCACACACCCGTGCTGGCTACCGGTTATAACTTTGTTTGCTTCTAGTTGTTCGCAGGTCTGTTTTTTGATTATCTTTTCTAGGACCTTCCCAGATATTGAGGTTAAACTGATTGGTCTGCATTTTCCTGGGTCTGTTTTTTTTTTTTTTTTTTCCTTTCTTGAAGATGGGAGCCACATCAGCCCTTTTCCAATCCTCGGTTCTTCCCCGGTGCTCCAGGATTTGTGGAGGATGTGGTTCTGATATAACATCTGGCATCGGTTGCCTGAGGAGTTTGGGAATCTGTGTGTGTGTGTGTGTGTGTGTGTGTGTGTGTGTGTGTCTGCAGTTTCCCCCCCCCCCATGGTCCAGACCTGTGGGGGGGGGCTTCCTGCCCCCAAACTGAGCCGGGCGAGCCCAGGAGGAGCGTTCAAGCTCTGCCTCCACTTTGCTCTAGGCTCCCTCTGGGAACTGAAAGGGCATCTAGTCCACCCCTCCAGACACCCAGAGAAAAAGAGGCTCTGGTTGAGAATCACGAGGGGGGGCGCAAAAGGAAGTCCGCCCTCCCCTCCGGAGCTGGCATGAAACGCCCCCCTAAAATGCAGCCCCCCCACCCCTACTGAAGGGATTGTTCCCCCTCCCACTTTCTCCGCTTCTCTCTCTGCGCCCAACTATCTCCTCCATCGGGCGAAGTCAAGGGAGGCTCTGCCCGGAGACCGATGACGCTGCACAAGGGAGAAATCCCATTGGTCCCTCCGCTTTCCTGGGCCTTCCCAATTACGAAGTTCGAGGGAAACGCCTCCTCCCCCCCCCCCAGTCCAGACCCCCGATTCCGTCTCTGGGGCTGGGAGCCTCCGCGTCTCTGTCTCTTCTCTCTCTGGGGCGCTTGTGGGGCGGCGTCCATGGGCTCCGCTGGGCTCCTCCTGGTGCTGCTGCTGCTGCTGGCGGGGGCGCTGGCCCGGATCGCCGGAAGCGAAGGGGGGAAGGAGACCCCCGGTAAGGAGGGGGCTCAGAGGGGGGGAGGAGAGGGGTTGGGAGGGGCCGTCAGAGCCCCTGGGGGTGGGGGGAAGAAAGGGGCTGGGACCCCAGAAGTGGGGAAAGGGGTCAAGAGAGGCAGTAGGCTGCGGGAGCCTCGATCTCCGCGTGGTCTCCGCCCCTCCCTCGCCTCATTTTCCCCCGCAGGACGGAGAGGGAGCCCCCTCCCCTCTGCCCTTGTTGTGGCCGAGGTGGGGTGGGGGTCGCGGGAAAGCAGCCCAGGTGGGATAAGAGGCAGCCGGGCCCCTCTATCGCCCCTCCCCCCGTGGCTGGGTGGGAGGGGGACCTTGCGCACCCCGAATTAGCGCCTGAGCCCCAAAGTTTCTTGCACCGAAAGAGGAAGGAGACGGAAAGCGAAAGCGAAAGAGGGAAACTGAGGCATTTTCAGATCTGAATCCACAAAGGCCACCAAAAGTATAAGAAAAAGAGATTTTTTTTGGCAAAAGTGTTTTTGCACCCTCAGTTTTTCTTCTGAATCTCCATTTTTTTAAGGGGAGGGGAGAATTGAGCTGGATTCCTTCTTGGGGAGACGCTGAGGCTCCCATTGGTCCCTCCGCTTTCCTGGGCCCTCCCAGGTCCGAGGTTCGAGGTTAACGCCCCCTCCCCCCACTCCAGACCCATCTATTCCACTTCTGGGGCGGGGAGCCTCCGTGTCTCTCTCCCCTCTTTTGGGGGGCGCTTGTGGGGCGGCGTCCATGGGCTCCGCTGGGCTCCCCCTGACGCTGCTGCTGCTGGTGGGGGTGCTGGCCCGGATCCCCGGAAGCGAAGGGGGGAAGGAGACCCCCGGTAAGGAGGGGGCTCAGAGGGGGGAGGAGAGGGGCCGGGACCCCAGTAGGGAGAAAGGGGATGGAGGGCAAGAGAGACGGGAGCCTGCAGGAACCTCGATCTCTGCGTGGTCTCCGCCCCTTCGCTCAGGAGGACGGAGAGGGGTCTGGGAAGGGAACCAAGGTGGGTTAAGAGGCAGCTGGGCCCCTCTCTCCGCCCCCCCCCCGTGGCTGGGTGGGAGGGGGACCTTGTGCACCCCAAATTAGCGCCTGAGCCCCAAAGTTTCTTGCACTGAAAGAGGAAGAAGACAGAAAGCGAAAGCGAAAGAGGGAAACTGAGGCATTTTCAGACCTGAATCCACAAAGGATTGTAAGAGTATAAGAAAAAGAGATTTTTTTGGCAAAAGTGTTTTTGCAACCTCAGTTTTTCTTCTGAACCTCCATTTTTTTAAGGGGAGGGGAGAGATGAGCTGGATTCCTTTTTGGGGGAGACTCTCAATTTGGGGAGGAGACCCAGAATCCCCCACCCCATATTCCCCATTGCTGAATCAGGACCTGGAGGGGAGGGGGGAACTGAGGGAGAAGGATATTGGGGAGTCTGAATTGCTCCCCTAAATTGGCTACTCAAAACGATTTTTTAGGTGAGGGGGGCTAGAGACTCTTTGAGGTGGTCTTGGGGGGCTTCAGGGTGACAGAAAAGAGGGCTGAATCCACAAATCATGCAAAGACAGCCAGTAGGAGTGAAGTTGATGGGAAAGAAAATTTGGGGTTAACTAGGGAATTTGGGGGTTCTCTTCTCCCCAAGATCCCCAGACCCCCAAGCCATCTAGATCAAATTTGAGCAGCCCCCCCTCAACAGAGTAGGGGGAGGGAAAGGACCCCCCATCTCCTGCCTGCAACGGGTCCTTTCAGCAGCCCCAGGAAGGCTCCCCACCCCTTTGCCCCCCAATTCAGGGGACCCTGAGGGCCGAGATAAACCCCTGGGGGTCCTCAAGGCCCCTCAGAGAACCAGGGACCGGCTTTCAAAATGACCAAATGACCACAAGGAATATCCGTCCTTCCACCCTCCACCCTTCGGTCAGAACTGAAGAAGCTTCTGGGAGGAGAAGCGAAAAGTCTTCAAGGGAAAACCCAGGAAAGTCCAGCTGCCTTTCGGAAAAGCCCCTTTGGGCCAAGTGAGACCAGTGGGAGGGAGGGTCTCTGGAGAGACCCCCCCAGCTCCCCTCGGCCCTTCTGAAATCTCCACTGACCCAGCCTGGACTCCCCATGGGGGGTCTTAAGGGAGCTTAAAGGGTCATCTAGTCCACCCCTCCAGGCAGAAAGAGAAAGGGAGACTGTGGTTCAGATTCATGGGAGGGGGCAAAAAAGGAAGTCCACAACCCCCCCTGGACACCCCTTTAAAGCTGCAGCCCCCAAGACTGAAAATCTTCCCCTCCCTCACCTTCTCCGCTTCTATTGGGAGGGATATTGGGGGGGGGTCTGAGTTGCTCCTCCAAACCCCCCCTTTAGTGAAGGGGGCTGGAGTCCCTCCCTTTGAGGTGGTCTTGGGGGGCTGCAGGGGGGAGGGGGCCAGAAAAGAGGCCTTAAAAAGCACCCAAAAGCAGCTTGTGGGGCTGAAGATCGGGCAGAGGGGGGAAAAGGGAGGGGGGGGCTTGAAGGGCGGGGAGAGCCCAGGAGCATGGGTGTGGGTATCCTTATTGTGACCCCCCCTTCCCTTCTCCTCCCAAAAGGGAGAGGGAGAGAGAAGCTTGGATACTATTTCCCCTCCAACCCAGAGGGGGGGTCTCTTCCCTCCCCCATATTTCCTTCCGCTTTGGGGGGGGGAATCCAGCGTTCCCTGCAGACGGACGGAGACTGGACCGGCTGAACTTCTGCCTGCCTTTTTTCCACCCTGGGGAGATGGAGGGGGGTCCCTCTTTCCCCCTCCCTCATTTTCCTCCCCCTCCAGACCCCCACCAAGGGGGAATCCCGCTGGGACCGACAGTTCCCCATCCCTCCTCCAGGGGGCGCCTTCTGTCAGTCCCTTGCGGCAGGTCTCCTGTCGCTCCGCCTTCCCGTCGCTCTGCCCCTGCTGGGAACCATGGGCCCTGGAGTCTCTCCTGAGGGCTTTCTTCTTTCTGCTCCACCCCCCCACGCAGCCCATTTCCTGTACCAGGGGAAGGCCGAGTGCCATTTCTTCAACGGGACACGGCGGGTGCGACTACTGGAGCGGCTGTTCTACGACCAGCAGGAGTTCGTCCGCTTCGACAGCGCCCGCGGGGAGTTCGAGGCCGTCACGGCGTTCGGGAAGGGGGATGCGGAGGCTTTCAACAGGGATAAGCGTCTCCTGCAGGACCGGAAGGCCGAAGTGGATTACTTCTGCCGATACAACTACGAGGCTCTCCAGGGCAGCCCCGTGATTGGCCGGAGAGGTGAGGGGGGGGAGTTCCGGGGGGGGAATGCAGGGACACCCCCTTTTAATTTCATTTCTTAGGACTCTCCCAGAGAAAGATCTGCCCCTCTCCAGCTTCCTCCTTCCCTTACATACTCAAGAGGGACAGTGTTTAATATTCATTTGTCATGTATATGGAGGGCTGAGGGTCTGCACATATCTTGCACATAGTATGTTTTATGTCCTGAGCCTGTGGAGACAGGCTTGGGGCATTGCAATGGTCCTGGGCAGGTGCAAGCTGCCCGGGACCAGACTGGCTGTCGCCAGTACGTGCGCGCATGCGCGGGTGCTGGCGCGCCAAATGTTGCAGATTGGCCCGGGAATGGCCTATAAAAGAGGCCGGGAGATTTGGGCGTCTTCGGCGTCTTGTAACCAGTATGCTGAACAGAAATAAAGAAGTTCCTGAGAACTACAACTGCTTCTCGTGTCATTGCCATTTCGCAAAGGATGCAACACTGGCGACGAAGGTGGGATTGCCTTACATCGACCGAAGACAGGTGTAAGCTTACCCGAGAGAATCCTGAGCGGTAGGAACGGCGTTGACTCGGCAGCTACCCGCCAATCCAGCGAGTATCGGGGGTAGGCTGGCTGATAGACCCTTCCTTTTCTACAAAAATGGCAAAAGTAGGAAGACTTTCAGAATTCGACATCTCGCATCCGGAGAGATGGGAGTCTTACGTAGCCAGGGTGGAAAACTATCCTAAAGTCAACCAAGTGAGAGAAGATAGTTTGAAGGCCGCCACCCTCCTGTGCGTTTGCGGTCAAGACGCATTCGAAATCGCTGAAAACATAGCAGCACCTGTACCTCTAGAATCTGTTAACTACACAGATCTCAAAAAACTACTCAAGGAACACTTCCAGCCCAAGCTGTCCGTCATCGCTTGGCGCCACACCTTCAAACAGAGGGATCAGCGACCCAGAGAATCAGCCAAAGAATACATTGCTGCGCTGAGGAAAGCCGCTAAACACTGTGAGTTCAAGGATCTAGAAGAACGGCTGAGAGACAGATTTGTATGTGGACTGAGGCATAGAGAATTACAGCAGAGACTTTTTGCCAAAGAAGACTTATCATTCCAAGATGCCTTGAGAGAGGTTACTGCAGAAGAGGCAGCGGGCGGCGCCATCAAGAACATGAGGCCGATCAGAAGCACTCCAGAGGCTGCGTCCGTGCACCAGGAAGGAGCCCAAAGGAACCCAGAGAAGGATCCTGATGATGAAGTAGACCGTCTCTACCCCACGAAAGAAAGGAAACAGAAAGGAAGCTCTTCAGCTCTCCCCAGGTGCCTCGGTTGTGGAGGTCGCCACAAGAGGACCGACTGTAGATTCCGCTCCGCTATCTGTAGAGCATGCGGAAAGCAGGGACATATTGCAGCTGTGTGTCTGGGCCATCCAAAGGTACAACCTCAGGAAGAATTGCGCCTGAAAGGTACCAGGGTTCCCAGCCAAAACAGGGTGGGGTTCTGCGCTTCGCAAAGAAGCATTTACAAGACAGGCACACACAAGCCCATCAAGAAAAAGCTGTCACTTAAAGTGAAGCTACAAGGGGTTCCATTGGCTATGGAACTGGATACGGGGTCTGCACTCTCGATCATTTCCATGCACACGTTTAGGAAGATTTTGTAACTCTACTGGCAAAACAGAGTTAACAGAAAACATTCCTGTACACAGAGGAAATAACTGACACTAGGTAGTATGGGCACCACGCTCGCATTAGGTTGTATGTTATTATTGTATGATCATAGTCTTAGCCGGGGGGAAGGGGTGTTATGTCCTGAGCCTGTGGAAGCAGGCTCGGGGCATTGCAACGGTCCTGGGCAGGTGCAAGCTGCCCGGGACCAGACTGGCTGTCGCCAGCACGTGCGCGCATGCGCGGGTGCTGGCGTGCCAAATGTTGCAGATTGGCCCGGGAATGGCCTATAAAAGAGGCCGGGAGATTTGGGCGTCGTCAGCATCTTGTAACCAGTATGCTGAACAGAAATAAAGAAGTTCCTGAGAACTACAACTGCTTTTCGTGTCATTGCCATTTCGCGAAGGACGCAACAGTATGTTTTTAGGGTGTGTCATGTATGTCTTTCACTTTGAGAGCAGGCAACTAAATTTCGTTTTGGATGTGAGCCATTGTGCCCACCGTAAAAAAATGACAATAAAGGTTATCTTATCATCTTCTCTTATGTATTCTCTGCTCTCAGATTTATGAAATTTACTCATTGGTATTTATTGATATCTATTGATACTCCTAAACCGCCCCCCTCAAAGCGGGGATCTGGATGGCCTACAATATAACATCACCCCTAAATAAAAATGTATAACAAATAAGCTTTAAAATTAAATTACAGTTAAAAAGTTTAAAATTCTACAACGATGACCATGAAACACACACAAGGGAAGAAATGTATTCCTCTCCTTCCCATCCCTCCCACCATCTTCCTTCTCTTCCCAGGGTCCAAAGTTTCCCCTGCCCAGAAAATCTTCTTTCCAGAATATTATACCAAGTTTTATACTTTTCTTTGGGGGGGGGGAAATCCAGCAAGATCTCTCTCTTTCCCAGTATATAGATATATTTCAAGATAATCTATATGCTATATAATATTTCAATATAATATTTTATATTAATAAATCAACATTTCTTTATTGATTTACTTATCAACTTTTAAAACCTTCTCTCTCCATCTCCCCCACAGAGGGACTTTGCATGGTGTACACATAAAATATCAAACCACCAAAATAGTCTATACAATTTAAGATTTAAGAGGCAGGAATGATTAAAATCCAGTGATAAACATTCATGAAAAGGTGGGGGGGCTTCGGGATGCTAACCAGCCCCACGGCTGCCCCCCAAGCAAAGCAGCACCTGCAGTAAATGACGGCCTCAGTGGATCCCTTCTGCCGGCACAACTACGAGGGTCTCCAGGGCAGCCCCGTGGTTGGCCGGAGAGGTGAGTGGGGGAGGGGGAGTTCCATTGGGGGGGAATGCAGCCCCCCCTTTTCACTTCATTTCTTAGGACTCTCCCGGAGAAAGATTTGCCCCTTACGTATTCTGTGCCCTCCGACCTACGCAATTTATTCTTTGGTATTTATTGCTATATATTGATACTCCTAATCCCTTCCCCTCCCTCAAAGCGGGGATCTGGATGGCGTAGGGTATAACATCACCCCTAAATGAAAATGTATATAAAATAAGGTTAAAATTAAATTACCTTTAAAAAGTTTGAAATTCTACAACGATGACAATCAAACATGCCAAAGGGAAGAAATAGATTCCTCTCCTTCCCATCATCTTCCTTCTCTTCCCAAGGTCTAAAGTTTCCCGTGCCTAAGAAAACGTCTTTCCAGAAAATTATACCAAATATTATATTTTTTTGGGGGGGGGGAGGAATCCGGCAAGGTCTCTCTTTTGCCCAGTATAATTTTTCAATAATCTATACTATATGCTATATAATATTTCAATATAATATTTTTATTAAATAATATTTATTGATTTACTTATCAACTTTTAAAACCATCTGTCTCTCTCCCACAGAGGGACTTTGCATGGTGTACACATAAAATATAAAACCACCAAAATAATCTATATAATTTAAGATTTAAAAGGCAGGAATGATTAAAATCCAGTGATAAAAGTTCATGAAAAGGTTGCGGGGGCTTCAGGAGGCTGACCGGCCCCACGGCTGTCTCCTCCCCCTCTCTGCTCCCCAAGCAAAGCCCCAGAGCCCCCTTTCCCCCCCTTTCTGGAAGGCCAGGAGTGGGGGAGGGGCTCCCTTCACCTCTGGGGCCTTTGGGATTTTAGGATAAAAAGTGAACTTCCAAAGGAAAAGGGAATCAGGGAAGGCTCTTTCGTCTGCTGTGCCCTGACCCTCTTTCAGTTCTTTTGATTCTTTATTCAGAGTCATTTGTTCATCCAATGTTGGGGGTCTGGGAGAAAAGCCCCCCCTGAAACCCCCTTTTTGGTCAGAGACTCAGCTTCACCTGCAGCCGAATCGCTTCTCTCTTCGTATCTGGGAAGGTTCCTCATTTGGGGACAAAGATTCAAAAAACCCCCACAAACATTAAAACTGAATTTTGGGCATCGTTCAGCCCTGAAGCCTCAGGTTGTTTAGTTCCCTGTTCCAGATTCCTGGCAAATTGCCTACGTTTGTTGGTCTAGTTTTATTTGTTTGTATTATTATTATTTATTTCTATCAACTGATAAGGTTTCATAGTGCAAAACCAGAGTTTCATCTGCAGTTGTTGCCATTTGTTGTTGCCAGGGTCTCCCAAAATAATACGCTACCAAAGAATTAAAGAAGATCTTTCTTCCATGAGAGAAAAACCACCAGATCCCAAGAGAAAAAGGCATTTTATGGGGAGATGCTGGGCATTTTCTCCTTCCAAAAATTATGGAATATTTAATGGGAACCAACACAGATTTTGTTCTCCGCATATTCAGTCTAGAATTCATTTTTACTCCTAAATTCTTCCCTGCAAACCTGGGAGGATAATTAACTGTTCATAAAAAAATCCCGACCAGATCCCAGGACTAAATTACAAATAACCAAACCTTTAAAAATTGCATGTTCTTAAACTTTATATAATGAGGTGTTCATAAGAGAATCCCTCAATGGAGAGAAACGTTGTTAGCAAAAGTTCTCTGATCTGGAGTGGATCTATGAAGGACCCTCTTGGGGGGGAGCTCACTCACCCCCCCCCCATTAATCCACCCAAGAGTTGAGCCATTTGCTGAAGGAGGAGATCAAGAGGGATCTCTTCTGTGGTCCTGGGATCTGCCTGATCTCCTCAGCCACCAGCTGTCTCTGCGCCCTCTTCCTCCTTTCTCATGGGGGAGGGGGGTGAACCGGAAATGAGCCTGGGGCCTTTGCCTCACCCCAGCCACTCTGCAGCTCCACTCACAGTAAGTCCTTCCTTTGCTGGCTCGTTCGCTCCCCCACTACACTTGGCTGGGCAGGGCAGCATACCATCTGTCATGTGTTCATGTACCACAGGTGGTACACTTACCACCAGTTGAAAAGCCCTGCTGTCAGCTGCCTAGAGTCATTTTATCATGAAATGGTGGCAAACAAATTTAATAAATAAATAAATGTTCTGGTATTCTACCTATTTTTTAAAAAAATGTGGTTTTCTTTTGAGTGGGATCCCTGCAATTCTCCAAAACATGCTGTGTATCTTCCCCGTCTTCTGGGTCTCTTTGCATCTCCCCCAAATCTGGCAGGAAATTCCTTCCATCCTGGGGCGTTTCCAGTATTTATTTCTGTTGGACTTGTGCAATATGATGGAAACTGATCCCAACCAGGAACGATTTATGTTTTTCCATCTTTCAGGATCCCATTTAATTTCTTGCTGGAATTTGCTTTGGAAACGACTTAAAACAAATAATATTTTCAAAACTGAAAAGGGCTCTTGGCCTGAACTAACCAACTTGGTCTCCTGTTCTGGCCCCTCCTCTGTCTCCCCCCCCATGTCCCTTCTCCCCCTCCTCCCCTCCAGCCAAGCCCACCGTCTCCATCTCCCCCACCAAGCTGGACCCCACTTCCCCTAACACCATCCTCCTCTGCATGGTGAGGGGCTTCTACCCCGTGGAGATTAAGGTCCGGTGGCTGAAGAACGGGCGGCCGGAGGAGGAGGGCATGGCCTTCGGGGAGGAGCTGCAGAACGGAGACTGGACCTACCAGCTCCAGGTGATGCTGGAGACCCAGCCCCAGCGGGGGGACGTCTACACCTGCCAGGTGGAGCATGCCAGCCTGGAGGCCCCGATCACCGTCCAGTGGGGTGAGCCCCTCCCCTCCCCCTCTGGAGACCCTTTCCTGCCCTGAGAAGAGGGGAGAGACCCTCCCTGTGGGGGGAGCTGGGATGGACCCTCCTGGGGGTGGGAGCTGGCCTTGATCCTCCTACTCAGTGAGGCTCCTTCTCCTTCCCCAGAGCCCCGATCCTCCAACTCTGCCAAGAGCAAACTCTGGACGGGGATCGTGGCAGCCGTGATCGGGGTGATCTTCTTCACCATGGGGCTCTCCCTCCACCTGAAGAGCAAGAAAGGTGAGTCTGGGGGGCTGGATGAGAGATTGTGGGGAGGGGACCATCCAGGGGAGGCCTCTCAGCAAGCTTAGCAGATGGCAAGGAGGCCCCCTTGGAAATTTGCTTGGGAAAGTCTGTTCTCTGAGAGTCTACTGTATAAGTGAGCATCCTGCAACCTATTATGGGCTGTCAATGGGGAGGGGGACCCCCTGAGTCCTCCAGCCCATGAAGGGTCCTGATTGGCTCTTTTTCTCCTTCCAGCAACTCCCATCCAGCCTCCTGCAGGTGAGTTTCTCCCCAAGTTATAGATATTTCTTTAACATTCCTTAATTGTTCCTTTAAAAAAAATGTGCCTGAACAAAACCTCCTAGCTGTGGATAACACAAATTTTTGAAATTTTGGGCAGCTTTTCATTAAAGAGACCTGAAAACAGTGCAATGAAAAACAAGCACACACACATAAACACTAAAATCTGGCCCAGGAAGTTTCCAGGTTTTGGGAAATTGCAAAAGAGAAGTCTCTTTGTGACATTTCACACAATTTCTGGCAAAGTAACACCCAGCTTTGCTACCACTCCCCATCCTGGCCCCATCTTCTTTGTTAATATGAAATGTCTGGGCGGAGGGAGACCTCCTTTCTTGATTAACCCCCCCAGTTAAGTCAATTGGGAAAAATTCCAGAAGCCTCTGGAGATGAATTGCTGATCCTTTGCATCCTTTTCCTCTTTGAAAAGGGGGGAGGGACAATCCCTCACTTTGTTCCTACCCATCAACCACCCCCCTGCAATGTGGGCCTGTCTGGGGGTGTGGCTGAAAGAGAGGAATAATAAGCTATTTACACTGGCTTCACTTTATTTTCTAATTTTCTCCCCATCTCTTTTTTTTCTACAGCACTCATGAATTAATTCTGCCGTCCTTCCTGCTTCCTGGTGGGAAAGGAAGGGGCTTTTTTCTATTAGCTGATGAATTTCTGTCTCTTTTTTGCAACCTCTGAAAAATGGAGGGTCAAGATTTTAGATTGGGGGGAGGAGGAGAATGGCAGCCTGGAGCTTTTCCTGCTGAGACCCCTCTGGCTTTCCTTTGAAGGCCTCTCTTTCTTGTGAGGGAGCGGTGGAGACCATCTAGACTGATCCCTAGGACTCTGGGCCTTCCTGTCAGTCCAGACACCCAAATCTCTCCCTGCTTTACATCCACAGCAGCTTCATCTTCATTACTCTTCGTCCGAATCCCTTCCCTTCGCTTTGCTATAAAAGAATAAACATTGTAGGAAAAATCCTGGAATTCCTTCTTCCTTCCTCTTCCTCCTCCTCTTTCCTCTCCCCCGCAGGAGGGTCCTCCCTTCTCCCCTTCCCCTCCCCAGATTGACACTTCCCCTGCCTCTGGATCAACCATCCCGGCTACTTCAGGTCTAAAGTCAAAACTGGTTTGAGAGGAGGGTTGGCAGATCCAGGGAGAGGAACGGACAGGACTCCCCTCCTGCTTGGGGGCCCCCTTGCTCTGCTTCCCCTCAAGGCTCCTTTTGAGGACCAGGATGCCAGGAGGCGTGGTCCCCTTCAAGCACTTGTGGGGAGCCATTGGGGGACACCTGAGACTCCCCCTAGACTCACCCAGCCATTTCTGCCATTTTCTCTCCTTCACAACTGGAGGGTCCTGCCCCATTTTGGCACCCAACACCTCCCTCCCTCCACCTGAGACCCCAGAGGCCTTATTCAGGACTGCCATCCTATCGCCACTGCTCCCCACAGCCCTTCCTGCCTTCGGGTCTCAAGCCCCCTCCCTCTGGGCAGAGGGTCTCCAACAGAGAGAGTCCTGGGCGAGTCTTGTGTGGCCCCCAACTGGAGCTCATATGAGACCCCCCCACACAGAAAAGGCCCTGAGTGGTCCTGTGGCCAATGGCCTTGATCTCTGGGAAGGTTGCACTGATGTCCATCTCCCTGGTCTGAGGGCTCCTGGGCAGGGGGTGTTGGGAAGGGTGTCTTCCCCAGGGCCTCTTGGGGCCAGAGCAGAAAGTCCAGCCGAAGCCATTCCTGGTGTAGGAGACATTTGCCATTGGGGGGGAGGGAGAGCAGCTCTGCGGGAGAGAGGAAAGATCAAGGGGGCAACTCTGAGTGGAAGACCCCTCCCTTCTCCCCAGCACCCCTAGATGCCCCTAGATAGCTCTCCCACTGAGCCTTGCCCCCTCCAGAAGCCATCCAGGCTGCTTCTGCAGGATTCCCCTGGCATCGATCTCCAAGGGCTGATTTTTTCCCTCCCATTCCTCATCTGGGGCACATAAAGAATAGGTCGGTGGAGGAACAGTCTCAAAACCTTACAACACAATGCCTCTCTTCACACTATTATGAGATCCTTATGCAGTCAACATCACCTTAGATGCAAACTAAATACGGCTACCCCATATTTTCCTGGAACATAATTATGGGCTGCCACCTGGGGGAACTCGGGGAAGTATGTGTTGATGTACAGGAGCAACAGGCTTAGTTCCTTGCATCATCAGGAAGAGCCAGCAGGTGTAGGAATTTCTCACTCTCCCGTTGGACTCTTTCACTCAGCTGAACAAGAAGGGCTGGAGAAGAGAGGAGAACATTGCAGGGTTTACTAGACCCAAACCTCCTTTCTTCTCCCTCCCAGTGACAGAACTGGAGTTAGAAAGGGCTCTTTGCCTTGAGGGGGGAGCCCCTTTCTGAGGACTCCCCCCTGCCCACCTTGCCCTCACAGGCAGTGAGTATTAGTGGGTCAGTGAGGCTACAAATGGCAAAACTAGCCAATCTGAAAAGAAAGTCAATTATTAGTAATGTAGTTCTTTGCTCAAGAACCGCAGGGAGCAGGTAGAGGCTAGCTGTATTTCTGAAAGTGCACTGAAGTCTAGAAATAATGTTGAGCTCCTGGTGTTACCCCAGAAACGGTCAATTATCTTGTGTAATGAGTTCTGTATGTGCCGAGAGGGAAATGGGGACAAACTGACATGTTGTTTAACAATAAAGTGTCAAGCTGTGAAGATCCCTTGCTTTAGAACTGCCATGATGCTTCTGGCTGATTTCTGTGTTACATGTACCCTGCCTGTGTTGTAAAAAATGCTGCATTAAAAGGCTAATAAAGAATGGATATATGTTAACTATTAACCTAGACCTACTCTGGTACTTACTATTTGTATTTTAATAATTATTTTCAGTGAGGTCTGATTCATAGTTGAGATTTTAACATTTTATAGGATATTTATGCCACAGGTTAAATATTTACATCCCCTTATAAATGTAGACATTGTAATAAAAGAGAAGTAGAAAGTGTGTGAATGAAAGTTGAGAGGGGGGAGGAATTGAATGGATACTGGTTGTTCAAATTATGTTTTCACCTGTGTACATTGTTAGATCACACCCCTTTATTAGCATAGGTGTAATAGTGTCCACAATAGTATCCCTCACATGTTGGCTGTGTTTGTTTGCCTGCATCAGGTCCTATGTGACTCACCCTATGTGGTTTTATTGTGTAGTCTATTTATTTGTTTAGATGGTATCTAATCAATTTCATAACATCTGTTGGTCTGTCTATTTAACAAAAAGATTGGGCCAGGAAAGGATCCTCTCTCTCTCTCTTGCAGATTTCCTATTGCTACATCTTCATTTCCTTTATCAAGATCCAGGCTGTGCTGATATTAAGCCATTCTTATTCTAAGTTGTATCCAAGGCTATTTCACTTGAGAAAAAATAACCTTAAGAATTTTTCTTCTGCTCCTTTCCAAGATCTTAGTGAATAGCTTCAATCTGATTTTATACTATTTCTGCCTAAGCAACTACATTAGCTGGAAGACATCGGTGGCAAAGTAATCGCAAAGCAATAAATAAATAAACCGAAAGAGAAGAATGAGACTGTGTGAAATTATAGCATAATATATGGTTGAAGAGCAGGCAACACCTCCCTCACTCCCCTCCCTCCCTCTCTCCCTCCCCCTCCCTCCCTCTCCCCCTCCCTCTCTCTCCCCCCCTCCCCCCTCCCTCCCTCTCCCCCTCCCTCTCTCTCCCCCCTCCCTCCCCCTCCCCCTCCCTCTCTCCCCCTCCCTCCCTCTCCCCTCCCCCTCCTCTCTCCCCCTCCTTCCCTTCCTCTCCCTCTCTATATCTCTCTCCCCCTACCTCTCTCCCTCCCTCCCTCCCTCCCTCCCTCTCTCTCCTTCCCTCCCCCTCCCTTCCCCTCCTTTCCTCACTCCCTCCCTCTCCCTCCCTCCCTCTCTCTCTCTCCCTCCCTCCCTCCTTCCCTCCCTCCCTCTCTTCTCCCCTCCTTCCTCACTCCCTGCCTCCCTCTCTCTCTCCCATCCCTCTCTCCTCTCTCCTTCCCTCTCTCTCTCCCTCCCTCCCTCTCCCTCCCTCCCTCCCTCCTCCCTCTCTCTCTCCCTCCCTCCCTCCCTCTCTCCCTCCCTCCCTCCCTCCCTCTCTCTCTGTATCTCTCTCCCCCTCCCTCCCTCCCTCGCTCTCCTTCCCTCTCCCTCCATCCCCCCTCCTCTCTCCACAAATGTTTTAGAGTTTGATGGGTAGCAATTTTATTTAGATAAAGAAAGATAAAGCGATAGCAGGCAGCAATCTCAGGTGCTTGGCCATATGTTGAAGATATCCATGGTCGTAGAGGGAGACAGCATTATTTTCCACGTGTCCTATACAAATGAGAAAAAAATAATAAGTTGATCAAAGTGAGCTTAAAGTAAATTCTTTGCTTTCCAAAGCTTTTTGAATGCAAACAATATCAGGCAGAGAATCTCATTATGTACTCTATCTGTAGTATCTCTATTAGAGGAGAGTTGTCTTACCTTTTACAACACTTCAATAGCGACCCACAGCCCAGGTTCCCAATGTTAGAAGTTCCAAGAGGACATCGGCTGACACGGCAGAATCCGCCTTCCCGATTACACTGTGGTTGGGCATTCCCTATGAAAAGAAAAAGAGGAGACAGGTAAACGATGAGTAAAGATTCCTTAATATTTAAATATATTTTTCCTTCCAAGACACTACCTTCTTCTACAGAATTGCAGGATTCCTTTATCCATTTATATTTTTATTCATTTATAATGTAAAAATATCAAAATAAAAAGCAAATAGTAAGGAACAACAATAGGGAAAGAGGAAATGTGGAAAGGGGGGAAAGAAACAAAAGGCGTTGACTTCCGATTCCCTGTTGCAATAAAATAAGGCATGAAAATCGAATCTCAACTTTTTGCATTTCTGTATTAGTATGAACTAGCCATTTCTCTATCAACAAATCAGTCTAATCAGTAAACCCCAAAATCATCGTATCATTTTTTTCCACCTCAAGCACAAAGGCCAGAAGCAGTTTCCAAGTAGAAACAATAATGCTTTTATTCTTTTCTTTTATCAAAACTGTCAGTTTAGCCAAATTCACTCAGTCAGCTTTCAGGCCCAAGGTGGGACTAGAACTCAGTACCCAGAGTTGTCATGTTTTGCTCTAATCACTAGACCAAACTGTTTCTCCACTTTGCCTCCTTATTCAAACAAAACATATTTGGCTGAGAATTGGGTAAACC